ACCAGATGTGTGGCCATACGAATCCGGGGACCGGTCGCGGCCAGACCGGCGCGCATCACCACGACCCAAAGGGCTGTACTGGCGGCTACTGTGGTATAGGCGAGCATACGATGCATAAATTGTACTCCAGTCGGATTATTCATTAGATTCCCTATTGTAGAGCCATATCGGGGTACAACCAAGTCCGCTGGGACCCAGCGATCGGCCATTTTGGGCCAGGAGTTGTACACTAATCCGGCATCAAGGCCAGCGACAAAGGCACCTGCAAGGAGAAAGAGTTGGAGATGGTGAGCGGATATACGGTTGGACAAAACTTTACTAAACCGCGTTCGAAAACACAACAGAAAGCTCCAAGGTAATGTATACGAAGGTACGCGACAAACCACCGGTAGGAAAGAAACTCAGAGAACATAATATATGGATGCTCTAAAACCAACAATCGGAAATTTACGCGGCGCGTAAACGGACATGCGAGGAAACAGAAATCCGGGTAGTGGTGGCGCAGTGGTTTAGTCGTTGTCACCGGTGTGCTTTGGACCCAATTGTCCGAGGTTCGAGCCCCGCCACCACCTGCCAACTTTGGTCGCAGGCAGCTTTGATATCGTCCAGCTCAATGTCACACCTGATCTAGCGAGGCCTTATGTGGTTGGCCACTCCAAGTCCCGGGGCTTATGTTTCCGGTTTCCACCACTGAACAGCAGGTCCTCGTGACCATGGGGTAGTCCCTGTTCACCACAAGTGTGTTATAAAAAAAAGATAAATGACAATGGGCTTCTTTCCTGTCATGTTCCGTGCTTCTTGCTACGGCGTCGGCGCCACGGGCATTTGAAATACAAATGGTGGACTATTCTTGTCACCAGTTTTTGCTGAGTCGTTCACTTACCCTAAAGATTTGTGAACAGTAAAGACTTATATATCGGAGGAAAACCGAACAGCGGTGAAAGTGGAATCGAAGTATGTATAGAACCCGCGTAACCCAGAACGTGGTAATAGTGATGTGTCGCCCTGACTCGGAAGAAACACGTGAGAAAGATAGAATTACTTACTTACCGAAGATAATGGTCGTGAAGGTTAGCGCTTTGGTGGAATAAACCAGAGATTTGACTCGTTTCAGCGCGGCAAAATGTTGAACCTGTAAAGGAAACCGATTGTGAACATGTTTATGCCAAAATTGGAGCATTTGAAAGTCACAATTGATTGAATAATCTTATGCGCCGTTTACGATCGGGGTCTAGCGTCATACCAGTAGCGTTTCTTTTAACACAAGAGCGTATCATGTTTAAGGATGGGGAAGTATATTTTTATTTCAAGGCCTAGTGTGAAGAACAATCAAAGGAATGAATTACGGAGCCACAAAGACCCACTGTTTGACTACGGAAACTTCCTTTATGGTTGTGAGACCCTGAATTTGCGAGCAGAAGATATCCGTCGACTAGAAGTTTTCGATTATCGGTGTTTACGCAGTTTAGCCCATGTTGGATGGAGCAAACGGGTTAGTAACGTGGAGGTAAGCCACCGTGTGTTTGGGAGTCTGTCAGGCATAAACCTGCTAGCATNGGCTCTGAGGGGGGCTCGTACCCAAAACGTAGGTATTGAATGGGCAGTTGGAGAAAAACTGCAATTTTGACTACGCCAATGACATCGCCTGTCTGTTCGAATGTGTAGAGGATGCGCAAAGTGCATTCGATAGACTAACGAGTGCTGTTGCCACATTCGGTAAGTGCTTTGCACATTCGCAGTGCAAAGTGATGATGCAGGACTGGATTTCGTCTACTCCCACTCTGAAACTAAATGGCCAGGATTTAGTTGTGGTGGATTACTTTTCTTACGTATGTAATTGCGTGACCCCTGGCGGTAGCGCAACAAGAGATAACCGCCCGGATTTTCAAGGCTCGAGCAGCATACGCAGGACTGAAACACCTCTGGCGTATATGCGGCGTTTCGCTGAAGTTGAAAGGTTGTGCATAGAGTTCGTTCAGTTCTGCTTTATGGTAGTGACCTTGAATTTGCGAGTAGAAGATATCCGTAGTTTAGCCCATGTGGGACGGGTTAGTAATCTGGAGGCAAGTCGTCCAGGGTTTGGGAGTTTATCAGGGATAAACCTGCTAGCACATCGAATTCAGCTTAGTAGGCTTCGCTGGCTAGGGCACGTATTACGTATGCCCAGCTGCCGTCTGTCGCATCGCGCTTAATTCCCGGTAGCCAATCCGAGATCGAGCAAACCCCGTGGAGGTCAACAGATGACGTGGAGACGAGGCATGAAGAAATGCAAAGAGCCATTAGGTAGAGTAGGTGTCTCTCACCTTCCAGGTTGGGGTCCGAAAGACTCCATAACTGGTTGATTTGGAGACACTGAAGGATATGGCAGCGAACCGGCAGCAGTGGAGTTCTTGTTGTCGTTCCTTATCAGGTCAGAATGCTTGAAACGGTATGTATGCAGAGTTCGATTGCGTACTCTATGTGTTGACCATAGTGGCTGATCTTCTCCCTTCCTCAAAATAGATCCAACCCCTGTCCAACTTAAATTTTATCACTAACCTTGTATGCATTGTGAGGTTGGCAGCGGTCAGTGAAGTTCACTTCACTGTACTTCGCTGTACAATGATGATGACTACGGAAACCAATGACTTAAACCATGTTCATGGGGTAGTAGTAGTCCCAAAAGAAACGTTTGCAAAATCGACGACTTGACTAAGCGAATAGCACCCACAGGTTATTATATCATCCTGGAGGCTTAACCACTTCTGGATAGCTTTTGTGTTAAACAGGTTTACTGTTGTCCGGCTCAATCACCCTTCTACTTCATTTAGGGTCTTATGCGGTTCTACAAACAAACATCAGTATGATGGCTTCTATAACAGAAAGGTAAATCCCTGTGTCCATGGGACTTTGTGTATATGTCCATTATCGTTCATAAGGTGTAACTAGAAAGTACATGAACAGTCATGCAATCCAATTACTGAACTCAGATTGTTGCGACATGAGATGCACAGAGAGAACTGTGTACAAATAAGGTGCTCTTTAGCGGAGTTGAAGACACAACTTATTTGAGGGTAGTACAAGATGTGAGTATTATTTTTAATACTAAAACGACGAAGGTGCTCGAGGATACACCGACTCATACCACAAACAGAACTTTGGTTTTGTCTTGTGATTTGCCAAACCGTATGGCTTCTCTTGATGATAGACTTTGCACGTTTCCTCGAAATTTCAATAAAAACCATCAACCTTCTTTGGGTTCGTGGATCTTTTTCAAGGATAGAAAGGCGAAACATTGACTTAGGCACCAATGGCAGATCATGTTACCTGATCCGTTCACAGACCGGTTGACAAAAACATCTTCGACCGCTTCAGATTATCTACGAGACTGCATCATGACGTGATGTGATGGCTTGTGCACCTCTCTGACCCAACGAGATTTTGTCAAGCCAGGAGATCTAATCATGCCTGGAAGGTCGAAGAGTAGAGGTCGGACGAAGTCCAGTCTCCTGGTCTTCCAGGTTGGAGGTTCGACTAGGATTTGCGTTTCAGTCGGTAAAAAATGGTGGAGTAATTGGTCCAAGTGAAAGGGCCTCCATTTCGCTTCACTCGCTGCCTTGCGGCTAGGTTCTTGTCAGAACCCTAATCGTTCTCCTGCTTAGTGACTGGATACCCTAGCAGTACCCGTCCATCAAACCCCAATACATATGCATTGCGAGTTTGGCAGCGATCAGTGAAGTTCCCTTCTCTGTATTTCGCTGTACGATGATGATGAATTCAAAGTGTGCTTCAATAATGTTTTGTATGGCATCTGATCTTTCACCCTCCACCCTGAGTGGACAAATACTGCCAGTTGATGCTACCCCTCCATCTGAAATGGAGGTTTATCGGGAAATAAGTTATCTCAAAAGGCACAAGGCCTCTGGCCCAGATGGGCTGTTCCCATCGGCGATAGTCTTGGGGTTGACGAAACTCTTGGGTTCAATACGGGAAAAGGAAGAGGTTCCAGCTGAATGGTGTGGATTAGTGATCATACCGATCTGAAAGAAAGGCGGCAGGTCCTCTTGTTAAAACCACAGGGGAATTAGTTTGATCAACATCGTCTCTAAACTTCTCGCCGGTATCATACTCCGTCAATTGTCTGCCGGACTAGCAATGCTGAGGTTAGGCGCAGAATTTTGAGTAACCGCGGTCACCCACTGGAGCAAGTGGTCGACCACAGATTACGCTGGCTGGAACATGTGTTACGCATGTCACCAGATAGGTTGCCACGGCGAGCGATGTTCGCCGAGGCAGGTAGTAGGTGGAAAAAAACCAAGGGTAGTCAAACTAAGACCTGGCACGAGGGTATGAAAACCCTGACCAGGGGACTGGGTCACATAGGTCTCGTTAGGCTCCCTGGATGGGGACCTCGAGATGATCACACCCGATGGTTAGAGACACTAAGTGATATGGCTGAGTGTCGTAAACAGTGGCGTTCGTGCGTTTTCTCAATTTATTTGCAACCTTAAACCACTGAAATCCCTCATTTTCTATTCGGTTCCACTTTCCTGTCTTCTACTACTCTTCATCCAAATGAGCAGCCAAAAGACAGCAAACAAAACCGGCGCACGAAAGTGCATGGCTAATGGTTGTACAAACTGAACTGATGGCAAGTGGTCTTACCATTGCTACAAGGTGAAGGCAACTGGAGCCAGAGAACACTATGTAGACTGACGACTTATTCGAGAATGCATTATTTTGAGTTGATTTTGCCCATGATCGCATCAATAACTGGTTGTGATTTGACCGGACTAAATGAAGACAATCATCACGAGGAGATTGCGTCTTGACGTAGTTTGTGCACTTCTCTGACTCAATGAGCTACACAGGTTGGCTTTTATCAAGCGAAGAGATATGATCATGCCTGGCAGGGAGATTTCAAACAATATCCAGTCTCTTGGTCCTCCAGGTTGATGATTCGAATATAATTGGTGTTTCGGTCGATGAAAATGCTGGGGGAGTAATTGATTCCAGTAAATGGATCTCCACCCCCACCTTACCCACTGTCTTGCGATTAATTTTTTGCTAGAAGTGAAGGCTCTGGTTTTAACCCTGATCGTTCTCCTGCTTAGCGGTTGGAAGTCCTGGCAGTGCACGTCCATAAAGCTCCATTGAACACTAACTAAAAATAATTTCATAGGCACCGATCACAGTCCACTGTATCGGGCGGGGCAAGCAGTGATAAGTGGGCTACTGCTCAGATCTCCCAACCTTTGTTTAACTCTGTATCCCATACCCAGCCCCTCCCCTTAACCTGCAACATTCATCAGACAACTCGTTTGTCACTCGCCAAGTAC